ATCGCAAAATTATCTAATACAAATAATCAAACAATTGATTATGTAAAAAATTAAATTAAACAATGTGTGTGTAAAAAGAAAGAGGAGAATAATTTGAGATTAAAAAATAAAAAGATGTTCTAACTAATAGAATCACAAAATTTGGGTATATATTTATAGGGTTAGTTGTCGGTCTGAACTCCCGCAAAATAAAGGCAATAAAAGCAGGGTGTGGTGATGCCTTTTTATAGGTTCTTGAAGTGACGAATCAACAACTAGCAAGATATCCTGGCAAAAAGAAGTTTCTCCTTCCAAAATTCTTCACTGAGAATTATTGCACTTGATAGCGAACATATGGGCCTGGAAGTTGCTAAGATAGGAGAGTTTCTTTAACTCACTACACCCTCTTTGTCACTGACAAGTAGTCAGCAAAATTTCACTGTTGTGAAACAATAACCATAGCCAATACATTCTACATACGTTGTGTTATTTATTACTACAAGAAAATATTTCTCCTGATGAAAATACGGCTGATTTGACTTTCAGTAAAAAGACAGTGCAAATTTGGTGTACTGGTCAGCCGTGGAGACTAAGGCAGTAACAACGGGTACGACCAACTACAAAACGATCATAGTTGCCCAAACACCGGCTCGAGCCACATATGAGGACATGATTATGACACATAATTTTTAGATTAGATTACGTCAAGCAATAACGTCCTTAAGAAAGAAATTTAAAATAAACTGGAGTCAAAAATTTTGAAGAACAAATTTAAAATAATTTCGTACCAAAAATTAACTTTTTTTTAATATAACGTTTTTTAAACAATATATGATATCTGTCAATAAATCCAGTTGAGATCTTTTTATGTCAGTTCATCCCAAACAAGGTGATACTGCCACTAACAAGCAAGGGTCTGCTGGAAGTGAAATAGAATGAAAACGCTTTAAAAAAGAAGTCGAAAACCCAATCCTAAACAGTGAACAACGGATAAAACTTCTGCTCCAATACAAAAGACCATAGAGTAACGTGAACCGGACGATTCGTGAACTTTTCTCTTCTTATTGGTTTTAATTTATCTGAAATTACACAGCCCAGTAAATTAAAACGCTGGTTTGGGAATTTAGTGGCAAATAATTGTGAGTTCAAATTACTGGGATTAGGAGATAGCAATTTGCACACAATGAAATCAGTGCGAGCAATAACTGTGCAATATTAAAAAACATAAAACGAAGTATCCCTCGACAGGGACAACAGAACAAGAACTATATACACTCCTAAATTAAATAAAGAATTCAGTTAGAAATTCTTCGAAGGTTAACCGGGTCGACAGGCACCTGAAGAAGACCTGATGACAAAACGTGATAACAGCAACATAGATGCGAACATTAGTCTGAATGTAAATAAAGTTAACTCCAAATCCAAGAAATTCAAACAGAAATGATCAAAGAACTTTTCTATTTTTTATAAAATAGAATAATTATTTCGTGTTCTATAACAAAATAAGCGAAGGCCGTATATGTACTGATATTTTATTTTATATGACAACATCGAATCATTAGTTGCATCTACTGCAAGGAAATTTAGGTCAATGTGTCTTGCCAATAGATTTTTCTCGTCTGAATCCATCTTGCACATTTAAAAATCTACCTTTTGTCCGTACAAGAATACTGTTGCCATATCTGGTTTGGTGCTCCTGCTATTGATCTTGAGATTTGTTGACAAAATCCAAAATAATGTAATCAAACCTGACCAAGCATTTCGACTTCAGTCACTTTCTCACAGACGTGGCGTGGCGTCGCTTCCCTTTGTCTTTTCTGGAGAATTCCCATCCGTTTACTTACGTCCTTGATGACTACAATATTCAAAAATTTAAATTCAATATCAATCGCCATCTTCTGTCTTCTTGAATTCCGTTCATCTCTCCTTTTCTCAACTCTCCCTATTCTCAGTCTCTTTAACTCCTTGTAACCACTTGCGTACTAGTGGCATTCCCGCCTTACTTAGGTTAAAATGAGTATATATATATATATATATATATATATATATATATACGTCCGAGAAATTTTCATAGAAAATATGCGTCCTCGAACCTGTATCCTACATGGAACTGTTATATAGCCTGACGTACTATACCAGTTTAGCTACAGAGGAGCGTCTGGATAGCAAGGTCGATTTTACTGTTTCTAAACTACAATTTTCTATGATTTCCCTCAAACGTTCATATCTGCTCGAAGCGTATCTAAACGTAAATAAATGACGACACACACTACGAAATCCGACATTATTTTTAATATATTTTATTGTTATACGTTATTTATATAGATACAAATATTTCAGTTAATACTGTTTATTATAAACCAGAGAATTTACTTAAATATTTGTGTCTAAATAACGTATAACAATAATATATATTTTAAAAATTGGTCGAATCTTGTCTATTTACTAGTGTGTGACGTCATATATATATATATATATATATATATATATATATATATATATATATATATATATTCTACACATTGGATATTTAGATTTTTTTTTTTACCACTCTGACACAGAGCATGTTTTAGTTATATATTTGAAGCCTTTTAAATTACATTTCTTTTAAGTAGAAATAACAAGTTATAACATTTTAGAGTAACACAGCAAGATCGGTAAATTAATTTATGCAATGCAGGTGATAAGACTGGTTTATCATTTTATGCATAAACTTCTTGGTTAATTACTTGCCAAAGGTTTGTCAGGATTTTGCTTTGAAGAACAAGTGTGATTAAAAGAAAACCCTTAATTGGTAGGGTGAAAAAAAATAAACTGTGTTATTTCTTTGACGTCATAATTATTTAAGTATTTTATTCAGTGGTGCGTGGGAAGGCTTTCACGGCCATCCACAATGATTCAACTTCATTTCCTTGTCTTAATCAGATTTTCTTCCGGTCACGTGATATTCGTTGAGAGCGTTGATTGGAAAATAGGCTTGTGAAGGATTTTCACCTGTTGCTGCTCTAAGTCGACGACCATCAAGTGATTGTCGTTAGCTGTTTCATTTATGCAAAGATGTCTAAGTCAAAAGTCGACTGGTTCCAATCAGTCGGCATTTCACTGAAAGTTGCACCAAGAAACTTGTTGTGACCGGAATTTTAAACGGTTTTAATTGTCGGTCTATAATTAACTTTAAAGTGACTCTATCTCCGGTATTGGGCACTACTTTTAAAAACTATGCAAGTTGTTTTTACTACATTTGGTCATTTTTTTCCAAAATGTTTATCATATATGTATGTGCGTGTGCGCACGCGCGTTGTGTGCAATGTTGACATGAATGGTATTTATCTGTAATTTATTCCTGTTCTAGAATCATCTCTCTTTCTCCCTTCCTCTAGCAGTGTCATTATTGTGGCAGTAAGAAACAGGGGTGGTCAAGATGGACTCCATGAAAATGAAGTGTACAACAATAATATTTTTTTTAAATATGTAGTAAGGATGTAAAAGGAATCATTTTTTATATGTCAACAGTTTAGTGTCGGGATGCTGAAGATAACACCAATCAGCTAAGTGCCAAATTTTATATTTGTACTAATCATATATATATATATATATATATATATATATATATATATAGAGAGAGAGAGAGAGAGAGAGAGAGAATACAAATATAAAATTTCTTTCTCTCACGTGGTCATGTACGACGTCATAGAACCGTATTACGAATTTACGACTGGCGTCTGCTATTCTGCGACCGTTATCGTCGCATAGCAAACTTCTATTTAAACATAACAGAATGTCATCTTTGATGGTGAATATCTCTCTTGTAATGTCCATGTAACCACTCTGATGGTGGCTGATGTGAGCCAAAAGCTTACATCGAGTAATAAAAATAATTATCCAAATGTTGACCAGTTTTTGTCTCTATTTTCTCTCGAAACTAAAGCCACTATACGAAGCTTAGAACGGCCCATGATCAAACATAATAGAGATTCATTGTCTGTTATATTTAACGATATATGCTTGAATAATGATCTGCTGCCCCAATACACTAAATGTATATATATATGTGCGTGTGTGTGAGTGTGTTGTGTGTGTCTGTGTGTGTGTGTTTGCGTGTGTAATAACGATAAGTATTTTTTTTAAATCTCAAGGACAACTTTAAGGGAAAGAAGTATGGCAAAATGGAAAAAATTGTCGTGTAATGCGTTTACTTTTACGTATACGCCGATGCACATGCGCAAGAACGAAAGAGATACGTTGAGAATTTTAAATTTCAAATATTTTTTTAAATACGTGTTGGCAGATCTTCTATTAAAAGTGATGGAAACATAAACAAAAATAAAAAGAATCCAAATGAAATCCACAAAAGTATATACCCCAAACATATAATAAACTACATCCGGCGGCAAGGCCTCTGATTGGCTGATTTAGAGGGGCGTGGAACCACCACTTAATTGCTGTTGTTCCCAGGTCCATTCTGACCCGGGGTGGTAGCACCTGTTAAGATCCCAACTATGGGCAAATAGTTAACCGCCAGACTGGGGTGAAAATTCTATGTTTACATTCTTATATTAAAAATACTAGCAACACATTTTCATAGTTAAAAAATTACCAGTAATACATTTTTGAAAAAGAAAATATTAACAGCAGTACATTTTTTGCAACATAAATTACTAACTCTAACAATAAAAATTAAATTTCAGCATTAAATGACCCATAGTTGATATACTGCTAAACAAACAATCATCTACCATGTATTCACTTGTGAAAGCAGAATAACATCATATTTGCATTATTTCAAAGCTCCCAAGAAAATTAAATTTCAACATTAAATGACCAATAAAGAGTTGATATGCTGTTAAACAAACAAAACAAAAAAAATATATTATTAAAAACATTATTTTAAATTTAAAACGCTCAGCGTCTCTCTTTCGCTCGTGCGCATGTGTAGTCGCATTAACGTAAAAATAAACTTAGTCCGATGAAGTCCTAAAAGACGAAACGTGTCACACGGATTTTTTCCATATTTCATTCCCCTAAGATAGATAGATAGATAGATAGATAGATAGATAGATAGATAGATAGATAGATAGACAAACAGAAAAACGGCCATCTCAAAAGAAAATAGGTAAATAGACACCTAACACATTTGGAAAATACGGATAATCAGCAAACTAGTTTTGGGTAAAATTGTTTACTTAATGAATGCAGCCATTAATACTTAGTTGAGGCTCACTTAGCGTTCTTGAGCGCTTTCAATCTGTCAGATACAGAAGTGACAACCTCTGCAATCGTTGACTGGGGAATTTCTGCCCCAGTTGAATGCAGAAGTTGAAGTAATTCGTAACGGGAACAGACTTCACTCGTTTCTTACTCAGTGATCACTCTAATAAGGCCCGGACAATGGGTAGAACATGAACTTGGGGCGAGTCGAGTAATGGATATCGGCTCGGATTGAGGAATCAGAGAGCCGAGTTCGAATTCCAGTCAAATCCATTATATTCACACGTGCTAGTACCCTTGGAATACCCTTATGAATCCTCTTCTCCTCCCCCCAGCTATGGGTAAATAGCAGGACAGACCAAGTTCTTTAGCCTTGGATAGCAACTGGTCTACTCTACTATGTCACCCAGATTAAAGAACCCGCCTACTGCGGGAAAAAATCTGCCACGCCAGTTATGTATCGAAAGATACACGATCGCCTAAGTGTGTATCACGCATGGCACATAACTGACTGAGAACTTGCACTCTATTTTACATCAGCCACATATTCAGGTTATTTTGCTGCATCGCAGGGAGTGAGATGTTACATGAAATATATGGTGTTCTTGAGCATCTAATGAATAGAAAAAATAAGAAGTCTTTCTTGAAGGATCGAAGAATATTTTGCAGTGTTAATATTGGCAATGCATTCTACTGCAGTCGAGCGACCTGCGCTCCAAATCGCTTCCCAGATCATCGCCGGAAAACAATCGTGTTTGACAGTTGCAGGCGTTTCTTGCAAAAACTCCTGACTGGGCTTTCTGCAAACCCAAATACGTCCACTTACAGAATGATAGGCAAAGGATGATTCATTCGAAAAGATTTCACCATACCACAAGTGCAGACTCTTCTTGGACAGAACATACTATTAGCCTGTTGCGTTCTCTACTTAATATTGACCAAGATGAGGAAAGGTTTGCGTCGAGAAGCGTTCCCCTGATATCGGAAAGCTGTTTTGTGATTGACATCATTTGTAGTGAAGTCTGAATTTTTCTCTTTTGAGTTACTTCCCACAGATCGCTGAACAGCTTAGGGACATCTGTTTGAGGATTCAGGTCGTCCAGAAACTGATGATACATGTTTTTTTTTCCTTAATTTCTAAATTGGGTAATGACAACTATTCAAATGTAGTAAGAGGGGTATAGTGTTTTTTTGCAATTCTGCCCTGCTAGGTCTCCCTTATGACTGACCAATAATTCTACTCCTTAAAAAAATCGACAATCCTACTGAACCTTTGGTTCTATGTATTATTATGTAAGGTAAGACCCTCAATTCTGAAAAGAAACAATAGAAATTAGTTAGATACTTTAGGGCATTTGTGGCTCATGAGATCGAAAAGTGAAAATCTGAGTGTTGTTTACTTTTGACATCTCTCTCTCCCTCTCCTCTCTCTCTCTCTCTCTCTCTCTCTCTCTCTCTCTCTACATATATATATAAATGGACATTGTATTCAATACACAGAGGCGACAGAGTGAAGCTGCTTGGCGCATATTGACCATAACCTCTGACCCACATACAGGTTAAGTTATAACGTTCTCGATCACTTCCGTTGCTTATAGCAGTGCTTGGAAGGAAATTGTGTCGTCTCGTCATACCACACCACAATCAATAACCATGACACGTGCAGCTGTCTTTAGCCAGATACAACATTCCCTAGGTCCGACAACCATCATATTCTCCAGATCTCTCCTCTTGCCACTTTTCCTCTTTCCAAAAATCAAATCCCATTTGAAAGTAGCAAGATTCCAAGACATAAAAGAAACCCAAGCAAGACAGCTCCTCACTATCCGAGAAAAAAAGATGTATTTGAAAGCTTCCATCACTTAAAACGCCGCTAAATAAAGGGAGTGACTTCAGAAAGAAACTACTTCGAAGGAGATAAATGTTGAGTTGATATGTGTTGTAGTTACCTTTTTATCGTAACAGTCCCGATACTTATTGATCAGCCGTCGTATGTGTACGTTTCAGAGAAATCAAAGACGTGCACTGATCCAAAAGTGGGTTTTCGACTGTCATCATCCAAAGCTTAATTTCAGAATTGATTGACGGATCATAGACCAACGACTCGGAACTGTGGTGCCAGTGCAGCTGCAATATTACTCGGATTATCTGTGGATAAGCTTCAATCACAGAGTGCAATTTGTTCTAATCCAAGACCAGTGGTTGTCAACCTGATGCTTTCCTCACGGCTTTGAATTCAGTGCACTGGAACATGCTGCTCTGTTGATGGAGCCTAGAATTTATCCCACAAATTATGGGTTAAACCCGACGATTGCTTGCCTATAAAGACAAGTATAAATCCGATGACTAGTTTCAATTATAAATATCCGACCAATGTTTAACTATTTACTAAAGTATAAATTCAATCAACGTTTACCGATAAACTCAAATATAAATCAGACGGACCTTTGACTATAGACACAAGAATAAATCCGTCTATGGTCTGCCTGTAGACTACAGTATAAGCCCGACGAATAAATATTTGCCCGGCAGTACACTCACAATCGACGGCGAATCTCGCATCATAGAGTATCCGAAAGTAACTGACGAAATATTGGAGTTAATCAAATGTTATTTATTAAAGAATCAAGCCCCGTGTTTTCATTTAATCGGCAACTTCACTTCATTACACTTCTTTCGCGAGCTCTATATATCGCCCACTGGTGGGGATTAAGGGAAGTGCAGCTAAAACGAAAACGACCCTTCACAGTTCTTTTGCTAATGGCTAATGAAAGTCGCCTGGGGTGTGAAACTGCCAGTCACCATACAAGCTTGATTTCTGTGTTCCTACTGTCTATATCTACAAATTTTCTATCTCTGATCTTCTATTATAAATATAGCAATTTTATATATATATATATACATACATATATGTGTGTGTGTGTGTGTGTGTGTGTGTGTGTGTGTGTGTGTGTGTGTGTGTTTAACGTGAATAAAATTTGTCAGCCGACTGATGTCACCTTCAGCATCCCGACTCCAGAGTTTCGTATCCGAACCTGTTCATCCACTCTTCGGTGGGTATCAGCAATAGGGTGCGCCCACAGTTATTTTTCCTTTTATTTCTTCCGACTTAGAAAGTTTATGAGTTCACTACTAAACAACAAATGAAAATTGTACAACGTTATTTTGAAAATCAACATTCAATTATGTTGACGCAGAGGCTATACTAATGTGAATGCAAAATGATTAAGTCGTCCTCTGAATCAATAATTCGCCGTTTCCAGCAAGCAAGCTTTTTACATCACTTACCAAGATCTAGGAGATCACATTCAGTTCGTACAGAAGAAAATATTAAACTTGAATTGAACAGCAGAGATGAACAGGGAATGTCTATTCGAAGACGCTCTTTACAGCTGAATGTCTCTCAAACATCATGACATTGCATTATGAGGCGAGATTTACATCAATATCTTTTAAAAAATCTAGTTGGTACAGGAAATAAAACCAATAGATTATGTGAAATGGCTTAATTTAGCTCAACGAATTCAAGAGCTAACGAATGAAGAGGAAAATTTTATTCTTCATCTGAAGCCTGTGAAAACGAGGCCCAAAATGGTGGCGGCTTACCATGTGTTATTTTCATTGAATAAAAATTCCATTTAATGATATTCATTATTATATAAAGCTACGTTAATAATATTATCTACTTAAGGAGTAATGTCACTTTTAAACACCCTGTATATGTATATACTTAGATGTTGCGATGGATAAATTGACATCTAAATTACACAAAAATGAAAATAACACTGACATCTCATTTTAAAATATCGTGAAATACTAAAGAAGACATTTATTCAATAAAATCGCCGTTGGCCTCCAGACATCTTCGGAATCTCCTGCATCTCTTCTGGGCGGTTTCTTTGTTTAAGTTAGTAAATGCTGCCATATTTGCCTTCAGTTCATCTTTTGTGTTAAAAGGAATTTTGTTGGTCTATACCAGCATTATTAGTATTATAATAGTGGTTCGAGTATTCATTTAATAATAGAATTCATTTAATTCATTAAAATCATTAAAATCATTTTAATATTTTTATTTTCATAATTTTTATTATAACAGATAGATTGGATATCGAGGAGCCGTTGACTGGCCACCAGGTTCGCCGGATCTATCAAAGATGCCACAGCTTTTTACACCCTTCTCAATTCCCTTCATTGCAGTTTACTATGGAGGTGGAGAGCTATGGTACCCTACCGTTCCTGGATGTTTTAGTTGAACGTAAGAATAGTTTATTCATCACCAGCATTTACCGTAAACCTACGTTCACTGGTTTATATACAAATTGGAATTCCTTTGTTCCTAAATCCCGTAAGATTAACCTGATTTCTACCCTAGTCTATCGTGCGTTGATGATTTGTTGCCCCATGTACCCTTGATCAGGAACTGGAGAAAATCCGTAGTATTTTCATTGATAACAGTTTTCCCATTAATATCTTTAGACGCACTATTGAACGGAAAATTAAGCTTTCAAAGAACCAGTGGTTTTTGGTCCTTCTTTGTGTCCCTTATATCTAAAACTCTCAAGGACTGGGTAGAAATAGTCAAGTACGCGCCGACAAGGTATCGGCGTGTAATACATCGTTTTTCGACTGTGAAAATTATTTTTGAGACACGTTCGGTGTTCCCCTCTTTCGTTAAGGATGATCTGTCCTATTTACAAAATAATTCCATAGTATACAGATTTAAATGCCAGGACGGACCAATCAGAGATTGGAGACCTGTATCGATCAACACGTTCCTGCTAGTATAAGAGCAAGTAACTCTAGTCGATCTTTTACGATGACCCAAACAGTGCATGACTCACCTATTGGTCAGCATCTCTATCTATAAAAGGCAGGATGTGTGTGTGCGTGTGTGTGTGCGTGTGTGTATAACAAACGCACGACCGCAATATTCGACGGATTGGCAGCAAAATTTACAAGCATATGATCCAAGTTAGCGGGAAGGCCAAGACCGACTTTGCATTTCCCAACTCCCATCGATAGTGGAAATAATCGATTTTTTCATGCTTCTACGGCAGTTTTCATGTAGTTTGCGGCCATTTTCTACTGTCCAGAGTGAGAGCCTATAGCTGGCTGCCACGAAAAGGCAGGAAGATTCTATTGGCCAGCGTGAGAGCCAACAGCTGACTGACACGAATCTTAACTAGCATGTAAAAAAAATCGGTAGCTGCATTCGTCACAAGTGGGAAAAATTTAAATCTGCATGGCACTTTACTTCAATTGGCTCATTCGCTTGCTTAAAATCAACGTGGATTCTGATTCCGCAGAACTGGGTTGGGTGTGAAAAAGTATTTGTTGTTAACATCCTTTTTTCATTCGTTTTTTCTAGTTAGGAGTCCTTGTTTAAAGCTGATCGTTTTGTGTTCATTTTGTTTATTTCTTTTTTCGTAACAGATTTAATGTTTAGTATAGAGCTTAGAAAAAATTCGCAGTGTGAGATAGGCAAGAAGTAAGGCATGTAACAACATCAGCACGGCAAAGGGCACTCCTCTAAAGGCAAGGAAGGGCAAAAATATTTTAAGTCAAGTGATAGCGATTGCTGTATGAGTCGTACGATTTTTGAATCAAGCACGGGCAACGCCGGGTCATGTTGCTAGTCTTTTATATAATCCTGACCGTTTACATCAGTATACAAACGATTGTTTCACCATCTTGCATAGAGCTCGTTCTGCTCATCATTTGAATATTTTAGAAGTATTTTAAAATACACCACTCGAGCCTATGCAAGCAAAACGAACAATTTATCAACTAAGTTATTTGAAAGGCGTGAGTAATATTTTTCTCTATTATACTCACTGGAACTGTTATACTTTAATTCGATAATTATTTTTACTAATAAACTTGTTTTAGGCGTGTTCAGTAATTAAGTTTCTCTCCGTTTTCCACTTTTCAGTTCTTGAGAATATCGTCTTTTTTCGCGTCCCAAATCATACCAACGAATCCTTCTGAAAAAGTGTTGGTCGATAGAATTTTTAAGGAAAAATTATAAAAAAAGAATGTCTAAAGTTCTTTTTAAATCAATATATTCATTATGTGGTGTCAGATTATTATATATATATATATATATATATATATATATATATATATATATATATATATATATATATATATAATATATAAAGAATGACATAAAAATGTCTTAAAATAATTGTCGGACTTTGTCCATTTCATAATGTGTGACGTCATTTGTTTACATTTGGATACGCATTGAGCAGAGATGAATGTACGTGAGAGATTCATGGAAGATTGTAGTTTAAAAGAAATAAAATCGACCTTTCTGACCGAACGATCCTCTGTGGCTCAATCAGTTAAGGTACGTCAGACTATACGCCGGTTCCCTATAGGATACAGGTTCGATTCCTGTCGGAGGACGAATACTTTCTATGAAAATTTCTCCGACATTCAGGCCGGTAAATGTTATTAACACTGTTTATTATTGTTGTGATAAACCCTCCTACAGTAGAATGAACTCTTCCTCCTCTCAGAAATACAAACTCTGAGAGTCGGGTAGAGTGGAATGTAGTAGTAGACGCAGTGCTAATCTAGTTATTACTAAAAATATTGTTTTGTATATATTTTCAACCTACCTTCGTCTTCCGTGTCTTTCTTTCTGGCCCCTAAACAGGCCACAACAATTATAAAACAGAACATTTACTTAAATATTTGTATCTATAAAAAGAATATATAAACATAAAAATGTCTTAGAATATATATTATGTCATTCGCAGACAATACTGTTTCTCTGTGCTCAGTGCGACTACACAACCGAATGCCTCAAGTCCGGATCGAACGTAAACAAACGCCAAGCAGACAAAGTGCTCCATTCATTTTACTGAAGAGCTTCGCATTTACGCAGGTGACCGTTGTGTTTAGAATTAGCTTGTCGTTCAACACTGCTCAAGAGCTAAACTATGTCATTCGCAGACAGTACTGTTTCGCAGCTCCTCAGTGCGACTAGACAACCGAATTCCTCAAGTCCGATTTGGTGTCAGTCAGAGCTTCTACCACTGAGCCATCTTCACTCGACAGAACGAATTAGCCAAATCTAGCGTATTGTTTTACAAACGTAAACTAATATATATATATATATATATATATATATATATATATATATATATATATATATATATATATATATATATATATATATATATATATATATATATATATATATATATATATATATATATATATATATATATTCGTACCTGGAACATAAAAAGAACATACATTCGCACCTGAGACGTAAATAAAAAGTAATATTAATTCCTTTAATCCAATCCATATTTCTCATTACTATAAATGTTACTCTAATGGTTACATGCCACGTCTCAAAATTCTTTTACAAACTTTTGGGGTGGGTTTCTCACAGCAAAAGAAGGACAAAAGTCCATATAAATATATGTTTTCGCTTTTGAGTTATTAAGTTTTAAGACAGTTTACGGTAGATGGTGCTGTGTTGCCGTGTAGACCAGGTTACATTTGTCATTCGTGTACATTTGTGGATAGTCTGTCTTCAACGTTTAACGCGTGTAGTAGCGAATTACCTGAGAAGTGTTACGTTTAACATTAGCAGGATATTCATATCTTGATAGATAGATATAATTTTTACATACTGCTGCGCGAATGATAATGGACGCGAGCCCTATCAGATTGCGTTTCCAGACCGAAGGCAGCCGAGTAATCCAACCTTTGCTGCTATTTATCGTCTTGTTGCTGATTTTGGATCCGTGGCACCACAAACTATAGATCGAAGGAGATTGAGATCCGCTCGTACGCCTGACCACGAAGAACAAATTCTACGCGCTGTCGATGATGATCCAGGTATCAGCACAAGTCAAGTGGCCTTAGACGGTCATATATCTCATAGTACCGCATGTGGGGGTACTTCAAGAGCAGTTCCTGTATCCGTATTATTTGCAGTGTCTTTCGCCCTCTGATCAATTACTACGGGAAAACTTCTACCGATGGTTAATTGCACAAACTGCTGATCCGTTGTTTGTCTCTTCAGTCTTGTTTACGGATGAGACAACATTTGGAAGAGATTGAATAATAAATTTACACAACCAATATTTGTGGGTAGATCGGAATCCTCATGGTACAATACAGGCTACACACTAACATCAGTTTACGATTTATGTGCGGGCTGGTAGGTCCGAGTGTTCTCCCTGCACTTCGTACAGGAGCTGCCAACAGGGACTTTATTTCGAACACACTTCCAGACATGCTAGAGGATGTACCCCTGCTAATACGAAGACGCATGTGGTTCATACATGTGGGACTCCAGCACATTTTAGTCATATTGTCACGATGCGCTAGCTGACATCTACCACGAAAGACGGTTAGGTAGATGTAGAGATGCTTTATCAACGTGTCATGGGTCCTGCCAAACCATTCGAAGCCGTGTGAAAGTATTTGAAAGAGTCCACCAATCAATGATCTGACGGGAGTATGCTTGTGTATAAGCAAACTGAGTACATTTTGAACATTTGTCATGTGTTGCTGTATAACTATGGCCTTTTGGGCATATGTTTATAGGGACATTTAATCTTGTTTTGTCGTCAGGAAGCCGCCCAAAAAGTTTGTAAAAGTATTTTTTATACACTCTGAAAATATGTATATCAAAAATATACATATACAAATACCTACGTTTATATATATTTATATATATATATATATATATATATAGATAGATAGATAGATAGATAGATCGGGGTTACTGATGCATAATCGAGTTATTCTTTTGTTCCTTTTAAGTTTAATTATTTCAATAAATTTGGATGTTTTCGAATACAATTAAATAATAGTCAAATAATATTTTCAAAACATCAAATAATACTTATTTTCAAATATAGCTAAATTATTTCTCTACATTTTATTTTATTTCTCTCCGCTGTTTTTTCCAGAAGGAATTAGGAATAATTTTTGTTTATTCGGCTATTTTATAATCTGTCTTGTTTTAACAATCTATTTAATATGATATTGCATTATTATCCATCACTATTTCCACCAAATTTGGTTTTTACTAGCCTTGTGGGCATTATTTCTCCGTCATTAAGTATTTCAAAAAGTTTTATCATCACTTATTTCAATCGCTATACCTGATTCATCGCACAATCTGCATACATTCGTGCATACATTTACATATGAATAAAATATTCGATCTGCGGAAAGAAGAAATCGATTTAAAATAAGAAAACAGAATGTGTATGAGTTGGTTGGGAAGGCAAATCTTGATGTAGTGTTCAAGAAATAACGTGATGGAAGTTGAAAAGTTAAGTGAAAGACTTTTTCTGTTCGCTGACATCCGGATTTTCACTTCCGCTTTCTGCTTTAGTCACTGTCACGGGCGTTCCTGAAATGTTTTGGCTGACAATTTAAGTCTTTACATTTCGTTCCACCACAATAGCAACGGCAAGGAAAATAGCAAAAATAGTAATATTATACGAGGGCTTGCAAACGGCATATATAGAGGAATATGAATAGATAAAAAGAAGGAAAGAAAGAAACATACTGAAATAAAAGTATATATAGATAGAAACAGACCGAGATAGATAGATAGATAGATAGATAGATAAAAATACAGTGATGGATAAGAACAGAATGAGATAGAAAGAAACATATACAGAAAAAGATATGAAGAGACTAAGAAAGAAAGAAAGAAAGAAAGAAATACATTGATATATAGAAACAGACTGAGATAGATAGATAGATAGATAGATAGTATACAAATATTAACTAAACCAACATATTTCAGTATCTGTCTATATTTCTGAGATGAGGTATTGTTGTAGAGTAGTTTTTCACAGTGGAGGCTTGTATTTCGCTAAGTCGGTCCTAAAAGGGTCCGACGTACAAAACGTTAGGAATTTGCAATAATAGTTAATGACGCAGCAATCTAGTTGTGGTGGATTGATACTTCAATGTCCGACATCGACTGACTCACTCAACTCCACTGAGCCCCCTGGCGACTGCTACTACTGCTACTTATTATCTGTGGGAGAGTCTATTTACAATAGAAATAGGTACGTTCTAGTGTGGCACCATTTACCAAGGCAGAAAAAGAAAAGAAAGGAAAGAAAGGAAAAGAGAGGCGAAGACCCAAAGCGTGGATGATAAGCAGAACACACACGGCTAAGAGACAATGGATAAAGGATATTTTGATAAGTAACAAATGGCGAAGAGTCATTACAATGGCAGGGAAATTCTGAATGGATAACGGAATCGGGTGTGTTCTGGCGACGGACTGTGTTATCGGGATACATAAACAAACCGCTAATGCGGGAAGGCATCTGATTAGCAAACCACAGACCGACTAGCCAAAGAAAAGTCCAAATGAAAATGTTATTTTGATAAGTGACGAAAAACAGGTGGACTACAGGGCTTTGGATAGATATGAAAAATTAATTGTGTCAAAAGCCGCACACGAGGTGGCCACTGACCGTTTCTTTCGACAGAACATCTTTAGCCTGCGATAATAAAACTATGTTATCAGAAATATGTACCAAAAAAATGAATGGGAACCTAGAAATGTTTCTTTTCGAGGCGACGGGCTGGCCGTGTTAAAAAAGCCACCCATTCTGATAATTAGCGATAAGATGACTGACGAAGCCCAGGTGAGAACAAGAGTCATGACCACCATCGATCGTATTGTTCTGTTTGCGGCTAGAGAAATTGATAACTGCGATTAAAAGAAAGAAAAGGAAAAGAAAAAGATAACTTTTTTTTTGTTAAGCAAGATATTTTTTTTTCCTGAAACAAAGCCGCGGGATCGTACACGCCCGACTAGACATCATTGGTCGAGTGGTGATCACGTGACGCAAGGAGGAGGCTGTCGCCGCCCATCTAGAGGATGGGTATGAGAGGTAGCTACGAAGAAGTGGGGAGGGCAGTTCACGCCCCTCTGAAGTATGGTGAGAAGGTGGGAGTAAGAGAAGTCTCCCAAAAAAATGGAAAAAAAAGTGGAAAATTCCTAACCAGAAATAAAAGAAGTGGATATGTATTTAGAAATATCGAGGACCCCCGGCGCCGACAAACCCACCCCAGTTTTGGTCGGCTTCCATATAAGCGAAGTCGCAGCGAGCAGAAATCAGTTCGAGTTAGAGTTTCAGTTCCAGTTCCAGCAGAGAGCTCGAAGTTCGCAGTGGAAGTTGGTTCCACTTCGCAGATAGCTGACTTGAAAGATTCAAGCAAATTCCGGACTCCTCTTCAATCCAAGAACAATTAATTTGAAGAGCGAAAATAAGTTTTTTCTCTCGACTTTCGCCCGAAGACACACCGAAAAACCCATTTCTTAAAGAGCAAACAACTTGAAGCGTAAAACTCGCCTAACGGAAAACAACGTGTCACAATCCATAGAACGGGTCGGGAAATAGACGCAGTCCTATGTATCCAACAACTACACATAAAGTTTGTTATCCTTTTTTTTTTTGATACCTTGAATTTTTGAGTTATCATTTTATTTTCTTTTATGCATATTTGTGCGGTGTCACCCCCGTTTGAACCCGATTTGCATTACGGCCCCAACTACTGATTGATCTCGTCTGCCTAAGATCAATTCACAACGTGGGTAGGCAGACTGGAGATCAGTGCAGTTACTTTGGTAACCAGGCGTTGGAAGCGAGTTGGGAACGACGAGGCTGATATCGAATCTAACCAGATTCCCATCCGAATCACAAAAAGGTTAGAACGTCACATTTGGGTGCCGCGACCGATACCAAGCCAGTTGGTCGTCACAGGACGAGACAACACGACTGACGCGACAGGCGGACGTCACGTTTGGAGCGGCGACACCCGAACGGAGAAGCGAGGAGCGAGCGAAGGCTGCGTTTAAGGACGTCGCAGCTGGCGCTGCGACAAGGACGTCACACTAGTATAACAGGTATTATGTACATTATTCACGTTATTCGGACTATTGTCCTCATCTTTGTCGCCATATTTATTACAATGTTTCAACCGTTGTACGCTCCGACCTTCTTCAGGTGGTTGGAATGTCGAACTTAACCTTTTATTTCGCTCACTGGTAGACTGTTCTAGTTCCACGTGCCATGTATAATGGATGTAAGTTATCAATTATCTCCTGTTAATTTCCCTCTGAAAGTTCTCCACTGCCTAAACCGGGTATTGAACTCACACTCTTTGGGTCCTGTCACTGGATCTAACCAACGCCTTTATCCACTGTGCCATATCCTCAAGGATTTCAGGGAGCACTTGTAGAATAATTAAAATCTAGTGCGCACTATAAATCTTAATAACAAAATATTAATCATTAAATTTGGAAATAGGAGAATAGTCACGTCTACCGAAATAAGCATTTATTTTTAAGACATTACATTATATATTGAAGCTATACACTTTTCATTTAAACGGGATTCTGAAGAACTTGCCATTTTGTTTTAGAGCGGTTTTATTGAATTAACTCCCTTGAGGAAGGTAAAAGGGAAAGGATTATTCATTCCTTCTTAAAGATTACGGAATATACCGTCCAGTTCAAATATCAAATGACAAAGACTTGACATAGACATGCAAGTTTTGTGCTTGGTGTCTCTAGCGTTTCAAAATTAAAGATTTTGTTTTTAAATATAAAAATAATTCAGAAATTACTCTTCTGCTAACTTGGGTTGAACTTGGGTTGAACCTGGCTACCTTTCAGGGCGCATTAGTGCACTCGGGCTCACCAGTTGAAATATAGTGATATAGTGTATCAATCCTGATGGTGACTATATGGAAAAGTAGCATTGTCCTGCTGATAACATATTCACAATGTTTTATGTGTATAGTAATAAGCATGTTAGAGTAATAAATATTTTAAATTTACTTTTTGAACACCCTTTGCAGATATATATATATATATATATATAGATAGATAGAGAGAGAGAGAGAGAGAGAGAGAGAGAGAGAGAGAGATAGATAGATAGATAGATAGATTCAGACGGCTTGCGATTCACCTCTCACTGCCGAGGCTCTCTTATTGCCTGTCTGCCCATCTCTACATCACATCAGACTGCTTATCACTAGGCTTATTCTACCTTGGATTCTGCGTGTATGCAGCGTTATAATATAATAGTCTACGACCGGAATACTCTACCTTCCGGCCAAGTGGTACTTGATTTGGAAAGTGTTATATTTATTCTTATAATTAAATTCCTTTTCCCTACTTCTGAATCAACTTCACAATAAATGGCTTGTGAGACCACTTTGCTTAGCATTGCATAAAATTTATAGATTATTAGAGATAAATTTACCACTTGGATATCGTATATCTTAAATACTTCACCTAATAGAAATTTAAGATCATACAGCGGCAATTTCTAGGGAAGAAACTTGATAGTCAAACTTCATATTTCGGATTGTAGCTTGTTTTGAACAATGAGCGCTGTTTCTTCAGGCAAAAACATTACCATTGAACCCACCATGCACTCTAAATGAATGTAAAGAAACGAAACTCTCTTCTCCATAGTGAATGAATAGATGTGCAAATACATGTATCAACCTGAAAGTTCATGAATGTAGATGGATATATTGTGACAAGTGGTCCTGCGCTCTCCTTAATGCATATGATGGCTTTAGCTTTGCATGTCAAATGAACTCAGCTTTTCAGGCTCACATTGTTTGCTTACGGGAACTTAGAAAATTTTATATGCATTGCTTTGTGCATCTGGTACCAAGGATGGCTTGAACGAAACTAGGAGGGAGATTGTGCGTTGTTCGGGGATTAGTGGCCTTCTTCATCATCCACCAAATTCCAGGCCTTCCTAAAAATCAATAAACCTTGAAGATTCGTTTTAAGTGGAACTTATAAGATCAGTACTTTACTGTTAAGTATTGTTGCGTACGAATATATTGGCCAATGTAAACTAAAAGGGGCTGCTGAAAAGTTCCCGGTTCGTAAAAGAAGACATTCCAAAATAAATGATAATATTTTGTCATTTCTTCATATTTTCTAAAGTGGGAGAAACAGAGAACTTGCTAACCTGACCTCACTATTTCGCGTTAAAGCTAATTTAATACATTGGATTTTCTCAGAGCCTTTTTTTCAACTAGAGACTGAATTCACAGCAGAAAAACATTCATCTTTTTCAATGAAAACGCTCAAAACTGTTGCAACCATCTAAAATATTTATTTTATCTAATTTGTTTCTTTCTGCTTAAATGTACAGAATTTTAAACTAAAACTATGTAATCTAGTTAACTTCGTCACCTAAAATTATTGTACTAATCCTCTAACTTAATTCACCTAAAATACTGTTCTCGTTTGTAACTTTTACTATACTCATTTTATACTTAATTCTAACAAAAAATACTGTATTCCTTTTTAATTTAATTTCTATCATATCCTTTAATGAAATGAGACACACTGATTTTTATCAAATGTCTCGATTACTTCAACACCGTATCACTTTATAAAATGTAATCAAAATTCATTATATTTGCTATACAAGGACTGTACTTTCAAACTATTGTCATCTGCAATAAATTCAGATACGAATATGTGTTCATGATGAAACAACTATTTTGATAAACGCGGAAGGAAGTCAATAATTTACACTAAATGAAAATCTGATAAAAAATGTACGATATACATGATATTATCAGTATCAAAATTACTTCAAACGAAAGAAAATGGTTATGCTGTATAAGAAAAAAATCTTCAATGAATTTTCAGTACTGTATTCTATGTAGAGGGTCTCTTCTATATCTCGACCACTTTAGGTTTTCTTATTTCCGTTATGGCTTTTTTATCAATTCTGCGACCAATTTTAATTTTAAAAAAATAAATGACCGTATAGTTATTGGCTGATAAAGTGTGTATAAATTTATGAATTTTGTATCATTTTTATCTTCCAAAACTGTTCTTTTTGTTTAGAATCACTTTTTCTTTTCCGACGGAATTAAGTAAATTAAATTTGCAAGAAAGAATGCGTTTCAAGGAAAGTCTTAAATTGCGATAAAACCGAAAAGTGAAAAACAACCACCAGGATATAAATCATTGAAGTACATATTTATTCTGGTATCATGTAGCAATGATGCAGGTCATATGATAAAGTCGTGTTTCGTCTACAGCGAAAGCATTACGTCTTCTAAAAGACAAAAAAACAACAATTATCTGAGCGTGTTTTGACAACAGTTACAAAGCATGGATAACGGCAGTTTTGTTTATGCAATGATTCAAACAAAGCTTCACGTCCAAAAGATAAAAATTATTTCGAAGAGGAAAATTAGAAATAACTGTTTTTTTAAATAATAAACAATACTACCAGTTATCCTGAATCTGCTATGAAATTAAAAAAACGTCGAAATTTTATTTTTGCTTCCTAACACGTATCAGCACATTCACTATTTCATTGTTTGGTGTTTCAGGTCCACATACGCCGCCTCTAATCACGGCGCTATAAGGAATATTCAGCACCTACCATTTGTTAAAACAGAAAACTATACAGCAGACCATAATTGTCTTCTTGGCCTCAATCTATAATAATGCTATTGAATTAAACTGTATCATTTTTCGAAAATCATTAATGACGTTAATTTATTAAACAAATCAGAAAAAATAATTTTCCCTTTTTTTTATAAAACTTTGATATAAATCTTATCTGCGGAAAATGTCTCTAGTTCTCAAATAAGTAAAAGTGAAAGGCAAAAAAATATAATTGTGCGTTTAAAATCAAAACAAAAATTGTGTACAGTAAGATAATACATCTAAAAAAAATGTTCGTTTTATGAAAGAATCAAATAAAAAATATAGAATTAGAAATTTTATAAATTATAAATTATTATAATATATATATTATAAATTATTATTTATTAATAATTATATATAAATATGATTTATCCTTCCCCTCAACCTTTGTTATTTAGCTTGTCGTCTGGTATTTGATGGTATTAGGGAAACAACTGATGCAGATATTAATCTTGGCATTATGCAATTCTGCAAAACTTTTACTATTACAGCAGTAATAGCATTCGTCAAAGCTGCAATGAACGAACTGAAATCAGAAACTGTATATGTCTTTCTGAAGAATGTGTTGAGAGACGTTGTTAATGATTTTAACCCATTAACTGCCAAATATTTTTAATGCGCATTTTTGGCCCAGACAGTGGTCTTAGGAGTTAAAACAACATACAATATTAAAATTTTCTCCAAATAGCTGGTACTTTGAAACTTTATAGAAACTAGAATATCAAATATATATGTGTATAAAACATCAAAACATAATATTGATTAGAAATAATTAAAAAATATTTTTCAAAATAGTCATTATTTTTCTACTCGTGAAATGTAAAATTACGACAGAAAGTCTCTTCTACGATTAGTTACGGCTAATAATAAAAACTTTAAAAGCTAAGTGTTGTAAAATAAAATATACCTCTGCAAATGCAATGTGAGCAATTCAAAGTAAATAAAAGGAGTAACAGATCTCCACATGGGGCTCATGGCAGGTAATGGGTTAAAGCTTTTCCGACACTACAAATAATTGGTTCAGTAAGAGAAGTTTTTTAGAGAAGGACTTAGCGAGATACTTGGTGAAAAGGTAGGAATACAAATTGAAGTCCACCTGGAAATGTTTTAAGAAAAGGAATTCTTTGAAGATCTTGTTATGTCAAAGATAAAGAAACTGAAGTAGAAACCAATAATATAGACATTATAGAAATATGCCAATGTCTTTAGAATGAACCAAGATACAAAAACCTTATGGAATAAATACTAATAACGGATTGAACACAGTATTAAAGAAACCCGTTTGATGACCGGAGCATTAGAACTTCTATAGGAATTTTATGACGAGTTGAAAGGAAAGAAATTTCTAATCACAATGTTTTTCCAAAAATGTTTCACCAAAAACAACTTCAGCCACCTAAGACCCCCAACCATACACATCTTTTTAATTTTTAATTAGCTGTCTTCAATTATGGTGTAATGAGTGATTTACTGCTGATTAAAGTAAACATTGATTTTCTTTTACGTTCCAATTCTACGCTATAATTGAAGAAAATTTGCTTGTTTTGTTAGACAAAAATGTTGTATTTTTTCTTTTTAGTAAAAACAAAAAAAAACTGCTAAAAACTTTTAAAAATTTTAATTACGCTTTTAAAATAAGCTGTCGATTTTCTGTGAAAAGTTTTGGACATGCCTAAATGGTACGTTTCTAACCGCGGATTTTAATATCCGCGAAGATTCTAAAAACTTATCTACTGGGAATAACAGCGCATATATATCTATATATATATTTTTACAGTAATGTTCGTCCTGTACAAGGCCCGGAGGCCACTTGAGCTAGAGTGTTACGCTAAAGAGTAATTTATATAGATAAGCGGGAAAGATAACGGTTAACTCTAGACTTGAACAGGTTAAGATTGTAGTGATCGGAGATTCTCGCCAATATATATATATATATATATATATATATATATATATATATATATCCCAGTCGAATACATTAGATTTACTTACGTGCTAATACCTTTGGGAAAGGTATTAATCCTCCTTTTCTCCCTCCAGCTATGAGTAAGTAGCAAAACAGACTGGGTTCTATAGCCTTGGATGGCAACTAGTCTAAGAGAAGGACAACTCTGAATTCAAAACCTGAGGAGTGTCGTTTGTGGACCTTGTGGCACGTAGTGAACCAGGTCTCTGTATTCAGTCCTTCAAAAAGTGTGGTTGGTTCTGTACAAAGTCTTCACCACTATAATGAAAATCATATGTGCTGAAGTCAGGGCTGTCGGTTCCTCGGAACTTAACTGCTTGACCCTCATACGTCGAAGACGACGGAAGTGTCCGCCATTTATATAACTTCACATGCACATACATAGATAGATATGTTGATATATGCATACACACGTGTTTATGTGTAGTGTATACCTCCGAAATATGGGTTGCATATTTAATATCCATGCATTAAATTGGCTGAAAGAAGGCCGCCATATTCATTTATGC